GTGTGTGAGAGTGTGTGTGTGTGAGAGAGTGTGAGTGTGTGTGTGTGAGAGTGTGTGTGTGTGTGAGAGAGTGTGAGTGTGTGTGTGTGAGAGTGTGTGTGTGTGTGAGAGAGTGTGAGTGTGTGTGTGTGAGAGTGTGTGTGTGTGTGAGAGAGTGTGAGTGTGTGTGTGTGAGAGTGTGTGTGTGTGTGAGAGAGTGTGAGTGTGTGTGTGTGAGAGTGTGTGTGTGTGTGAGAGAGTGTGAGTGTGTGTGTGTGGTGGTGATCACTCAGTACTAAAGCGCTGCTATCTTGCTGGCCTCACGCACTCCACTCAGATACGCTCCCGTCACCGTCTGAGGAAAGTGTCTGTTTGTGGCCTGCAGGAACACAACAACAAATGAACAACACCGAAAATAATCATCTGATAACAACTAGGGATGAACAATACAGTCAGCCCACGGTTCGATACATACCTCGGTTTTTCAGAAAGGCTTTTCAGTTCGGTTCGGTGGCTCGGCACATTAGAGTGTTTGTTATTCAATGCTCAGGCGACAGTAAGTTAATTTTTATTGCAATACTCTTTCTTACCCCACTGCCTTTATTTTCTTGTGTCTGTCTTAGGCCGGTCATGATAACTACTTTTTGTTTGGCAATATATTGCCCTGGAAATAATTGCGATAAATGATTTTATTGTCATTTTAAGACTGTTTTATGCCACTGACTATATAATGATAATATTTCAGCAGTAAGTATCCACACTAATCAGTGCAGTTACAGTGTTACGCCAGTAGATGGTGGCAAGGGACTGACTTTATAAGTGTGTGTGTGTGTGTGTGTGTGTGTGTGTGTACCTACTTAATAATAATAATAATAATAATAATAATACATTTATTTTATATATCGCCTTTAAAAGTTGCTTTCTCAAGGTGCTTTACATGAAAGCTTACATAAAGGAAAACACAACAATATAAGACAATATACTATAAATTCAACAAGAAATAAATCACAAAACAATACAATAAAAAACAAATCAAATAAAAGCATTCCTGAAAAAGAATGTTTTGAGAAAAGTTTTAAAAACAGCTAAAGAGTTAGCGTCCCTGATGTAAATTGGGAGAGAATTCCAGTTTTGGAGCATACGTTGAAAAGCCCCCCCCCCGGATCGCAACCATGTTTTGGGAACAACTAAGAGACCGTGCTGAGAAGATCGTAAATTGCGAATTGGCGTATAAGGTGTTAAAAGATCTGCCAGATACTGTGGAGCCAGACCATGCAGAGCCTTGTATGTAAGCAGTATGCGGTATTTAACAGGGAGCCAGTGTAACGTCTTCAAAACAGGAGTTATATGGTCGCCAGCCCTAACCCCAGTTAAAATTCTAGCTGCTGAATTCTGCAAGTATTGCAATTTGTTAAGAGAGCATTTGGATACTCCAACAAGGAGAGCATTGCAATGATCAATTTGTGAGAAAACAAAAGAATTAATCAATTTTTCAGCAACAGAAAAGATCAACATAGGTCGAATACATGCAATATTTCTAAGATGAAAAAAGGAGGTCTTGTTTTAGTTTACTGTGTAGCTCTAAGGCAACACCATCAACTGATAGATCTATAGAAGCAGCATTTCGCAGTTGGTGGGGAGAGCCAAGAAGCATAACTTCAGTTTTAGAGCTATTCAGACAAAAATTTTAGACATCCACAACTTAATCTAAGAAATACAGTTGGAAAGATGATGGACATCCACAAATTGACCAGGTTGAGAATGTATATACATCTGGGAGTATCATCAGCATAGAAGTGGTAGCTGAGGTTAAAGGATCTTAATAGCTGACCAAGAGGATAAATATAAATGCTAAAAAGCAGGGGACCAAGGACTGACCCTGTTGGGACACCAGTACAAACAGATCCACATCAGATCTGAAACCATCCATAAAAACAAATTGACTGCGACCCATTAAATATGACCTAAACCACTCTAGGGCAGTCCTAAATACACCAAAGACACTTACACATGGTGTACTTAACCATATTTTGGGGACAAATTTGTACCCAAAAGTGAGCAAAACCTGACAAAAATCACCAAAAACCTCCATCTGGGGACGTCCTCATATGTAAAACTGGTATAAAAATAAAGTAAACAAAGTATTTTTGAAATTGTAAAAATGCAGAAAGTTTTCTGTGAGGGGTAGGGGTGGGTTTAGGGTGAGTGAGTGAGTGAGTGAGTGTGTGTGTGTGTGAGTGAGTGAGTGAGTGAGTGAGTGAGTGAGTGAGTGAGTGAGTGAGTGAGTGAGTGAGTGAGTGAGTGAGTGAGTGAGTGAGTGAGTGAGTGAGTGAGTGAGTGAGTGAGTGAGTGAGTGAGTGAGTGAGTGAGTGAGTGAGTGAGTGAGTGAGTGAGTGAGTGAGTGAGTGAGTGAGTGAGTGAGTGAGTGAGTGAGTGAGTGAGTGAGTGTGTGTCTGTGTGTGTGTGTGTGTGTGTGTGATGAGAGAGCAGATGACAGATCTCAGTGTGTAAATTCATAGACACACAAACAGAACCACTTCAGAAAGAAATAAAACAACCATTTAAACAAAACCGAAAACGTGAAGCACAAGCGCATATTGAAGCGTGGATGTCGAACTGAACGGTTCAATATTACATTGAGAATTGTGGCCTCCCGATTTACAAGAGAGCGGTGAGTGTGCGGTTTTTATAGAGGCTTTTATGAGGAATTTGACACTGGACAGACATTACAGACATATGAGAAAGAAGGAGACCGCATCTACTGTCAGAGAGTGAATATCAATCCGTGTGTCCAAACAGCGCTTTACATGATACAGACTGCTTCAAAGCTTGTGAAATGTATTAATTATAAAACAACTTTAAATTCAGCTTCTCAACAGAAGACAGCAGTCATTATTCAGATCAGATTCAGTTCAGTTCAATAACCGTGTCAATGCTGCAAAGTTCATCAACGGTCTCATTTTGTCACGAATGATTTTCTCATCTGCCACAACGATATAAATCAGTGAGGCTTTGCTCAAATATGAATATATTCAAATAAATGTTCATGAATGGACTTGCAGTCGACCTCGTATCATACAGAGAGATGACGCACGTCAGAATCAAACTCAGAAAGCCTCACCTCGCCGGCGAAGAACAGCTTGCCCTGCACGTCTTCGGCGATGATGTCATAGGCCTCGCCGCTGCCACCCGTCTTCACGAAGCTGTAGGACATCTGAGCCCACGGGTCTCTGCTCCAGCGGGTCACCAGGAACCGCAGCGGATCCGGAACCTCCTGCAGCAGAACCACAGAGTCTGTGACGGTCCTCACGGCAGCAAGACCACAAACTCAGCTACTGTCAGGATCATAATAAAGGAGTCACCTGCTCCTGGAAGAGCTCTCGGAGGACACTCATGCACAGATCCACCACCTGAGAGTCCTGAAGATCTCTGAGCAGAGACAGAGCCTCACCGGTGACCACCGTCATCAGCACACACTCGTCACCCTGCGCACACACACACGCACACACACACACACACACACACACACACACACACACACCTCAATAACCCTCCGGTCTGCCGCAGATATCACTACATCAAGCACTTACCACCCACAGAATACACAAATCATGTACATTTTATCATCATTTACTCACCCTCATGTTGTTCCAAACCTGCATGGGTTTCCTTCTTCTTTTGAAAAATGTAAGTAACCAAACAGTTGCTGGTAGTATTTGTTTCCATACTATTGAAGTCAATTGCTGCCGGCAGCTGTTTTTCCCCATCATTCCTCAAAATCTCTCTTTTTGTGTTCAGCAGAAGAAAGAAACCCATAAAGATTTGGAACAAACATGAGGGTGAGCAAATTATGACAAAATGTAAATTTTAGGGTGAACTGTCCCTTTAAGAGCCGGGGGTGAAAACTTTTAGAATTCTTCAAGGTGTATGTAAATTTATGACCGCAACTGTAGAAGCGTGCTGTGCAAGAAACATTAGTAAAACATCACATTTAATACTGAATTTGATCAGCATTTTTCTGAGGGTTACTCTTATTTCACCAACCAAAAGCAAACAACAAAGCTCTGTTTTGTAGCACACGCGTGTGCAGAAGCGAGCGGCGCACCTGCGGACACATGTCGTAGAACACACTGAACAGGCCTCTCTTCTCCGGACAGGGCGGGATGTGGCCAAAATAATCCGCTCCCTGGATTTTACTGTCCCAGAAGCGTGTGGGGAACTGGAGCGCCACCTGAAACACAGCGTCGAGCGGTGAGCACTTCAGCGGGCGAGAGACAAACAAACACTGACACGAACACTCGCTCACCTTCTCAATGACTCCGGCTCCCAGACTGTGGATGGCTTTGAGCTTCCTGTCAGGCAGAGGAGGACTGAAACCAATGATGTTCTTCTGCAGCAGAGCCAGCGGCACCGTCACCAGAACCTGTGACACACAGCAGCCATCAGAGCGACGCGCTCACGGGAGCGGATGAGGTGTAGGAACAGTGTGAGTGTGTGTGTGTGTGTGTGTGAGTGTGCGTGTGTGTGTGTGTGTGTGTGTGTGTGCGACGAACCTTCTGTGCGCTCCAGCGAGAGCCGCAGCGGGACGTCACCGTCACTCCCTCTCCAGAATAGTCCACATGCTGCACCTGCAAACACACAGCTGAGTGTGAGCGGATCAAAGCGTAAGGCCGGTGAAAAGCAGCAGGTGTGTGAGTGTGTGTGTGTGTGTGTGTGAGTGTGAGGTGAAGTACCGCGGTACTGAGCCGGATGTCGAGTTCCTGAGCGAGTTTGTGCAGGACAGATGAGTATCCGTCAGTGAGCAGCGTGTGATCTCCAGAGAACTGAGCGAAACACTCGTTATGATCCCACGAGCACGCCGACACCTGCACACACACACACACACACACACACACACACACACACACATATATGAACATCCCACTCAATACACTCACACACAATACATGAACATCCCACTAAAACACACGCACACACAATCACACACACACACGCACGCACGCACGCTCACACACACACTCACACACACTCACACACAAACACACAGACACTCACACACACTTCCCACTAGCGCGCCGACACCTGCACACACACACACACACACACACACACACACACACACACATATATGAACATCCCACTCAATACACTCACACACAATACATGAACATCCCACTAAAACACACGCAGAACGAATGATGTCATGTGTGTGGATCATAAATGACAGTACAGATCACATGACGTGTGTCTCACCGCCCAGTGGTGCATCCTGGGACTGTGACTTGTCTTTCCTCCACTCGGATACGGCGTCTAGCACGGCGTTAAAGTGGAAGTCCATGCGTTTGTCCAGAGCTGTATCGGTGACGCGTCCGCCTTCCTGAATGAGCTCGCAGCGGACACCCAGAGTGTGCATCCGCAGTCCCAACTCAACACAACAACAACAGCAGACACGTCACAACACCAAACCAAACCACAGCGACTGTGAGTGTGTGTGCGAGTATTTGTGTGCGTGCGTGAGCGTGCACGCGTGCGTGCGTGAGTGTGTGAATTTGTGTGTGTGTGTGTATGTGAGAGTGTGTGTGAGTACGTGTGCGAGAGTGTGAGTGTGTGTGAGTGTGTGTGCGAGAGTGTGAGTGCATGTGCGTGTGTGAGTGCGTGTGCGAGAGTATGAGTTTGTGTGTGTGTGAGAGAGTGTGAGTGCATTTGCGTGTGCGAGAGTGTGAGTGCACACGTGTGTGTGTGAGTGTGTGTGCGCGTGAGTGCGTGTGTTTATGAGTGCGTGCATGCGTGAGATTGTGAGTGTGTGTGCGCATGTGTGTGCAAGAGTGTGAGTGCACGCGTGTGTGTGTGCGCGTGTGAGTGCGTGTGCAAGAGTGTGAGTTTGTGTGTGTGTGTGCGAGTGTGAGTGTGAGCGCACGCATGTGTGTGTGAGTGTGTGTGCGTGTGAGTGCGTGTGTGAGAGTGTGTTTATGAGTGCGTGCGTGCGTGAGATTGTGAGTGTGTGTGTGCGCATGTGTGTGCGAGAGTGTGAGTGCACGTGTGTGTGTGTGTGTGCGCGTGTGAGAGCGTGTGCAAGAGTGTGAGTTTGTGTGTGTGTGTGTGTGTGTGTGTGTGCGCGAGTGTGAGCGCACGCATGTGTGTGTGAGTGTGTGTGCGCGTGAGTGCGTGTGTGAGTGTGTTTATGAGTGCGTGCGTGCATGAGATTGTGAGTGTGTGTGTGTGCGCGAGAGTGTGAGTGCATGTGCGTGTGTGAGTGCGTGTGTTTGTGCGTGTGTGAGAGTGTGAGTGAGTGCGTGAGTGAGTGAGTGTACGTGTGAGAGCGTGTGTGAGAGTGTGAGTGCGTGTGTGTGTGTGAGTGAGTGTGTGTGTGTGTGAGTGCGTGTGTGTGTGTGAGAGTGAGTGAGTGTGTGTGTGTGTTACCTGCTCACACATCAGGGCGATGGGGTTGTTCACGCAGCCGTTCACGATCTGAGCTCCGCACCCCACCGTCACGCCCAGCGATGCATCGTCCCAAACTCGTCCTCCGATTCGCTCCCTGGCCTCCAGAACCACCACCTGTCCACCAATCAGAAAACAGACCATAAAGAACAAAATACACCTTACAAAACAGACCCTTCGGCTCTTCATTCTGACTGAATGGCCAATCTATATCAATTATTTTTATTTGCAAAAACGAATGTAATTATTTGTACAGAGATGATACCAACCAGTCCAGAACTACGACAGCGTTTTATAATAAAGTCAAAATCTGTTTTCAAGGACAGATGGAAGGGAGCTGGGATGAATTTAAAAGTTAGAAATATAACAATGATATAACTTTGCCAAAAAGTTTTATTATTGTCATAAATCAATCAGTTAACCCAGTTTGAGCTACTTCAACCTTTAGATCATTATTCTTACTGTTATTAATGTTACAAACGTGACGAATGAAGGGATGGACGCCACAGATGGTTTTTGCGGAGTAGGTGGAATTTTTACATTAATTAACTTACATTTTTACTAACATCTTATGACTTTATATAGATCACGAATTAATCTCGTATTGCTACAACTTTATTCTCATAATTTTTACTTTATTCTCACAATATATTATGACTTTGGAGTAAATGCTGTTCTTTTTAACTTTTTATTCATCAAAGAATCCTGAAAAAAAGTATCACAAGTTCCAAAAAAACATGAAGCAGCACTGATAATAAATCAGCATATTAGAATGATTTCTGAAGATCATGTGACTCTGAAGACTGGAGTAATGATGCTGAAAATACAGCTGCGCATCACAGAAATACATTACAGTTTAAAGTACAGTACATTAAAATAGAAAGCTGTTGTTTTAAATTGCAATAATATTTCAGAATATTACCGTTTTTTCTGTATTTTTGATCAAATAAATGCAGCTTTGATGAGCAGAAGAAACGTCTTTAAAAAACATTAAAAATCTTACTGATCCCAAACTTTTGAACGGCAGTGTATATAACTATATAAAAAGTGAGTTCTTCATCAACTGTAAACATGATTATGTGTCTCAGTAAAGCCTGTCCATGTGCAATAGGGCTTAATCAGCTTTAATCCAGAAACACAGTGGTTTGTGTGTGTTGTACCTGCATGCCGAAGTTCTGGAGCTGTCGAGCAGCAGCGAGCCCCGCGGCACCTGCGCCGATGACCAGCACCTTCTGCACAGACACACAGAGAGACTCATCATCTGCTGATCATCCAGTGTGCTTCTGGGTAAAATGCAGGAGATGATGCTCTCCAGTGTTTGTTTCACTCATGACACGGCTTTATATGAAAGTTCAACACACCTCTGCGCAACAACAACATGCTCTGTGTGACGAGTGAAGCTTTTTTACATTCTTATATTATTTTGATGACAATCAAGGCATTTCCCCTTAAATTCTCCACATTCTCACTCATCCCTATCCGTCAGCATGCCGGTGTTTGTCTCACGTTGTGCTGTGACTCGGGCAGCAGCGGCCACTTGATCTGCAGCGCTCCGGTGTTGATCAGACCCTTCCGGCTCATGAAGTACAGAACCCGGTCCAGCTCCTGCACGCAGCGGACGCGCACCAGCCCACGCACGATCACGTGAGGAGCGCACTTCTGCAGCGTCAGAACCTCCTGCACAGAAACACCACAGAACATCAACACAACCCAGCCGCTCTTCAGAAAGCGCTGTCAGAGACACACAGCTAGTGAGTGAGCGATTCTCTGGGGTTCATCTGGCCTGACAGACTCAAACGAGCCCAGACCTGCTCAGACCCCAGATCTCCTGACGCTTCAGAGCTTAAAACATGATAATGAGGAGAAAGTTAAAGCCTCCCGAGCGTCCTGCTACAGCACGGAAACTGAGGAGCAAACATCGGGCACCTTGCAGTCTCGGCTCCAGGCCGCCAGCACCAGGTTCCTCAGCGCCAGGTACATGGTGGGATCTCTGGAGAACTCGGGGAACTCGTACAGCTCATCCAGCTCCATCATGTCAGGTCTGACACACAGGGCTTTCCCACACTCGTTCGGCTGATAGAAGGGCTGGAAGTAGGGCGCGAGTCCGGGAACTACACACACACACACACACACACACACACACACACACACACACACACAATCGATCACGGTGACGTTCACTGTTCACACTTACAAGCCAATATCTGCTGAATAAACCCCAATTACAAGAAGACACCACAGTAAACATGAACTAATATATATCAGCATACTTCATCAGTGGTTAATCACAGTACATTAAAGGGTTAGTTCACCCAAAAATGAAAATTGGGCCATAAATTACTCACCCTCAAGTCATCCTAGGTGTATATGACTTTCTTCTTTCAGACGAATCCAGTCGGAGTTATATTAAAAATTGTCTTTGATCTTTCAAGCTGTTTCATGGCACTCAGCAGGTGTTGCACGCATCAGTCCAAAAGAAGTGAAATAAAAAGCGCCCATCCATTAAACGTATGAGGTCAGTGCTTTTTATTTCACTTCTTTTGGACTGATGCGTGCAACACCCGCTGAGTGCCATTAAACAACACTCCGACTGGATTCGTCTGAAAGAAGAAAGTCATATACACCCAGGATGACTTGAGGGTGAGTAATTTATGGGCTAATTTTCATTTTTGGGTGAACTAACCCTTTAAGACAATTGTTTTGTATTATAAGTGCTTTGTTTAAATATGCCAATTAAGCATTAAATCTAATTAAATATGCACTAATTTGCATGAATTTCTAGAACAGAAATCTAAACATCGGTTCTTGTTTGATTTTATTGTCATATTAGAGTTAAAGGTTTTTCCAGAGGGGATTTGGGATTTCTCTTTTTATCATAAATCAGAAAATACGGTCAACAGACAGATTTTCATCATGTTTTCAGGAGTAAAATGTTGCATAAATCAGTGTGAATGAAATATGAACAAACCTTGAGAATATAGAGAGGAAAAAACTGTAACGTTTGCTGTTTGTAAGAGACAAAACTCTTTAAAGATACGGATTGAGATTTAAATCTTCACACAAATAGATAAAGTGCAATAAAACAAACACTTAAATGTGTATTTCAGATGTTTTCTTTCCAAAATTGACCACTGCGCGAAGAAACCCTGGTTTGCCTGCAGTGTCTGTATTAAATCCACCTCTGTCAATAATCTGATCATGTGAGTGGATGATGAAAGCACTGGTTACAGAGTTTCTTCCAGTGAACGACCGACGGTTCTGGACTCACTGTGAGGCTGAGCAGCTCGCCGTTGCTCGGGCCGCTGGTTGCCGGGGGGATGGTTGCTAGGCGAGGCAGACGGGCTCATGCCCACGCAGTCGGGGTAATAGCAGGAGAGGAACGGAGTGGCGGGACTGTCCTTAAACAGCGGCGGCAGGATGAGCATAGAGAGCCACCAGCTGTCTGTCACACCGGCCACTCGCTGATCACACAACACACACAGCAAACCACCAATCAGATCCTCCTGCTGCAGCTCATCCAGCCAATCACGTTACAGCATGACTGCTTCACATCTGGCTAGGATGCATGCTTTTTCACATGTGGGTGAACACATGAAGCTGCGCATCTCAACTGGTTCTGATGCGTGACGGACAGCAGGAAAGAATAATGACATGCAACTAACCATATAATCATGCACAACTATGATACCAACAAGTTTAAGCTGCTTTAGCTGTTGATGTGGAAAATGTGCATCCAATCAAACTATTTTCACAACACTAATTCATATGAATGGAGTCACGTCGAGCATTATTAGGTAGATGTTGTTTTGAGCACCGTCTGTCACGAACACATTTCAGGACATGATCTGGTGTTTTAATGTGCGCTCAGGGTTTTACCAGGTCCTCCGGCTGAGAACACGCATCACTTCCTTCCACCTGCGGAGCACAAGCACACAGACATGAGAAAGCGCACACGCGCCAGCATCAGACGGGCGATGAAGCGCTGCTTACTTTGCTGCTGTTGAGCTTCATCCCGCAGCGGTACGAGGACGCCAGCGTGGCCGACAGATGCGTGTCTTTACTCAGCTGACGCCATTTACCACAGTCTGCTTTAGTGCACTGAACCTGAGAAACACACGATGAACAGCCACACGTCTTCAGCCTGCGGGAAACTCCACTTAACTCTACACAATAATGTCCCCTTCATCAACACTAGTTAATGCATCAGCTAACATGAACTAATAATACATCTTTACAGCACTTATCAGAATGAGTTAATGTTAGTTCAACAAAAACACAGACTTCATCGTTCGTTCATGTTAGTTCACAGTGCATTAACACTTGTATTATATTCAAATTCTGGGATTGATTTTTATGTTATGATTTGTTTGTTTAAATTGTCCCTAACTGGATTCAATACAATTCACCAAAAATCACAAGAAACAAAAACAGGTAAAAACCTTTAACATTAATACCTCGCACACATTCAAAAAAAATTAAATAAATAAACACGAGTACATACTTTTTTTAACAGCTATTTTGAAATAGCTTTTTTTTTTTAATTGTGAATATTATAAAAAAAATTCAACTATTTTTTTTTATTTAAAGGTAAATGTTTAAACTTTTTTTTTTTATTCTATTAATTTTATTTTTTTGTGTATTTTTGACAAGCATGCTGCTTGCAACGCCAAGGTCCAGAGTTTGATTTACAGTGAAATCACCACGCTTGAACTGATCATTTACACCTTCAACACTTTGCACCTTTCTTTGGATAAAAGCGTCTGCAAAATGCATAAATGTAAATACCCTCAGAGGACATTTAAGAACCTGACATAATAAAATACATACATTTTTTAATTATTATTATTATTATTATTATTTTGGGTCCGTACAGCTTAAAAAAAAAAAAAAAAAAAAAAACTTTGTTCATAACCCTAAATGAGAAATAGTCACAAAATTAAAAAAAAAATATCTTAGGTTAACCAGTATTTCTAACAACTCAATTTTGCATTATGGGTCAAACTGACCTGCAACATACTAATATTAACAGATACAGCTTCTGACTTTGGAAATGTGTTGGTATATGTTGAAATTAACATTAACTAGTGTAGTTAACTGAAACCCCAGTGACTAAGCTAATAACACAATACTCTAATAAGCATCAAACCATTAGTTTAATCACACTGCATGAACACGGTTGAGTTTGGACTGCTCTGATGTTCACGCTGAAGGCTGAAGTGTTTCTCACCCAGTAGGGCAGCTCCTGGTCGGCCATGAAGGCTTTGAGGCTGGGCTCGCTCTTCCCATTGCTGGTCCAAACCCGCTTCCACGAGGAGAAGGTCTCGTAGCCGTCTTTATGACTGCAGGAGCACAGACGCACGCTTAGCATTAGGGATGGACATTTTTTAAAAATACTGTATTCGAATATTTGGGCTCATAAAAAAACAAATGTTTATTTAAATGAGGTTTGAGACTTTTTTTTTTTTTAATGATCAAGTTTTTGTCACCATTTCAGAACAAGCTTATGATTAGGCATCATACACAACACTGTACTACAGCAACTTCACTTTATATCTCAAGGTTTTCTTTTAGTTGAAAACGTGTGTAAACAAACAAAATATAAATATATATATATATAAAGAACAAAAGCATTCAATCTCAAGCAGAGCAAACAGAAAAAATAAAGCAGACCGTGCAAGTTACAGTACAGAACATACACTCGAGTCGGCCAGTTTATCGTGTTTATATTGTTTCATAGCATGTTAATGTTGAGAAAAACAATAATATCCACATGAAAGTTGGCTCCTCAGTCTAATAACAATAAGAACGCGCGTCGACACAGACGGAGTTTCTTACAGCGCTGTGTGTTTTCTGTTCTTAAAGCACTCTCTCTCCAGGAAACTTAAAGGAAGCATATGTTCACGGATTCATTTGATCAAGAGTAATTCCATTTTATAAGAACATTTAATAAGATCATTTTGATCAAACTAATTCCAAACGAGGCAGACGACATTCTGTGATCAAATACAATCAACTTGTAAACACGCTCCAGAGCGCCACCCAGTGCAGATTTATCTTAGCATTTATCATGATTCCCTGCATTTACGGCAAGCAAAGCAACACATAGTAAAATTCGAATTGTGTTTTTACTTTCCAAATAATAAATACAGATCGAATATTCGACTATTTGTGCACACCCCTAGTTAGCATGTCACGCAGCAGGCATTAGCCTCGTTAGCCATCTGCACTCACCTCCTGTAGTAATGGTCAAAACACTCGTTACAGAAGTGCTCGCCGCACGACAGGTGATACCAGCGCGACGTGTAGCCGTTTCTAGCACACCTGAGGAAGACAGACGGAGCAGGAGAGCGTTTGAGTGATCATTACTATCAGTTAAACACACTCACCTCCCATACTCAACACAGCAATGGATTTAAATGACATGAGAGAGAGAAACACTCACTCACTCACTCACTCTCACACACACACACACACGCAGTGTAATTTTTTAGACCATTTAGATTTTTTTAAGGCACATAAAGTCACTAAATATTGAGCATAACTTCTTAATATGTCTAAGTTAAAGTGTTTTAAAGCTAAAAATTTCAAATTCTGTCTCAACCAATGGAGTGAGTTTGGAGGCGGGACTATCTGTTTGACTGACTGATGGCGTAGACGGTTTCAGGAAACCTGTTTGAAAACAGTATCATTTGCTTCCACAATTTTAAAGAGTCTCATTTGGGCGGTGAGATAATAAACACAAACACACAGCTGTCACAATGATGATGATTTATCTAGATGCATTAATATGCAGGTTGATGGGTCTGTTGTTTATTTCATGCGCATCAGAGCTTTGATTAAAGGTGCGTGTTTGTTCAGGACGTGTGAATTGATATGAAAGAAACACTGATCGTGGCTCTGTCTTCTGTCTGTGACTTTGGATCAGTTTAGCCTTTAATACACACACACACACACACACACACAGTCTGTCTCTCATTCTCATGACGCAAGGCATGAATGTGGTGAAATGAGTCTCACCTGAGTCCGCTAACATTGATAATGGTGTTTCTGTTCAACCACTGAATATTTGACTCTTTATTCTTTAACTAGACGAATAGTTTCCTCCTTTGTTCTTGAACGAAACACATTAAATCCAGCATCGTTTATTCTGCCTCATCTGCAGGAAACTAACGACCTCACTTCCGCTCTTGCGCTTTACAGCACAAACCAAAATAAAAGTCCCCCCGTCTGGACTTCTTCGCTGTTGTGTGTTATTATCATATGGATGCAGTACATGTAAGAACTCGCGTTTTTTTTTAAATAATGGGCGCTGTTTGATCATTTTGTCGCGTAAATTAAGAAAAGGACAGGAGCAGTTCAGCACTTGAAGGCTTTGCCTCTGAAGCGGAAGTTTGTCTCTAGCGGCGCTCCGGAAGCTGCGCGCGTTACCACGGCGACCGCAGCGCGTCCTGTTTGCGCCGCTGCTGTTGTTATGATGCGCTCCTGAAGCTTCGTGAGCGTGAGATGATCGGACTGCAGCTGTGAGATCAGACATGCTGTCCACAGTCTGAGGTGTTTCTCCGTGTCTGTCTCTGACTCGCCGCTGTTTTCCAGGCTGTGAGGGTCGCCGATCTCTCTCGAGTGCTTCAGCTGCTGCAGGACCCGCTCTCAGTAAGACTCCGTGTGTATGGCAAGCCCAGTTAACATTTAATGCTAACACTTTCTATTTCCATGCTAACAGTATGTCTTCTTTAACTACTAGTATCTTTCCCATTAAGTACTAGTGCTTATTTATTAGCTACTAGTTCCTATTATTTAGCTACTAATGCTTTTTTTTTCTTGCTTTTTTCTTCTAATACTTTTTTTTAGCTAGGCATACTAGTAACTTTGTAGATACTATGCGATGGCGATGGCGCTGCAGACGGCAGCCTCAGTGTTTGGCTCTCCAGTGTTTGTACTGTTTTTGTTAGTTTTTCCTGTTTTTTGTTTCTCAAACACGATCAGTTTTACCAGGGATGAGCTGCTGAACATTCGGCAGAACACACCACACAATCTTCTACCGGATTTCGTTTATTCGGACGTTTTGCTGAACGTTGTAGTCGGCGGAGCTGCTGCGCTGATCAAGCGCTTCAGGACGCGCAGACGGGGGAAGAGAGCCGGCGCGCTCGTGAAGCTCAGGAAGCGCGGATTCAGACCGCCGTTGCCTAGCATCCATATGGCGAATCTCCGCTCTCTACCCAACAAAACGGACGAACTTCTTTTCATTAACTGTAAGCCGTTCTATTCGCCGCGGGAGTTTCACTCGTTCATTCTCGTGAGTATTTACATTCCTCCGTAAGCACACGTGAGCTCAGCTTTACAGGAACTCGCTGATCTGATCACAGAGACAGAACAACAACACCCGGACTCTGTTTTAATCATTCTCGGGGACTTTAATAAAGCAAATCTTTCCCGTGAACTGCCAAAATACAGACAGCATGTTACATGTCCCACCAGAGACAGTAATATACTGGACCATTGTTACTCCACAATAAAGGATGCATATCGCTCGGTCCCCAGAGCAGCTGTAGGACTCTCTGACCACTGCTTCAGAAAGAACAAGAGAAGAAAAGCACCAGGCCCAGACGGTGTGACACCAGCCTGTCTGAAAACCTGCGCTGACCAACTGGTCCCCATCTTCTCACAGATCTTCAACAGATCACTGGAGCTGTGCGAAGTCCCTGCCTGCTTCAAATGCTCCACCAAAAAAAAAAAAGCATGCTAACCGATTGCCTTGAATAAACGAAGTAAAGCGAAATAGGAATAGTATGTTGTACTGACAGATGCTTAGTTAGTATAGTTTACTTACACGAGAGTTCTAGTAACTAAAAAAGAACTGTAGGGGGTACTTGATCCTTTCA